GACCCTCCTCCGCAGCCAGCAAGGCTCTGTCTCCAGTCACCTCCCGGTCCCCAGGGGCAGCCGTGTCAGCCCCCCCAAAACCACAGAGCCCAGCTCAGAATGCGGCTGCACCCCAAGACGGTTCTCAGGACAAGCTGGCGGAGCAGATGGCACTGGTGAGGGGCTGGTGCCTTTCGTCCTGTGACACGCGGCTGCACTCACGTTGGGAAGCAGCGTTCGTAGCTGGACGCCTGGCATGAGGGCGGTTGGCCAGCTTTGTGGTCAGAGACCCACGATGGAAGCCAGTCAGGCGACCCTGTCCTGGGGGAGGGGGACTCGTGTGGTCTTTTCTGTGCTGAAGTCAGTGGTCTGGGCTGCTGTCCTCGCAGGCTGTGGATGAGGGGCCGGGACGTGGCAGGTATCGTGAGGGGGGACAGCGCAGGCCCCGGTCGGTGAGGGTTCAGGTGAGGGTCCCGGTCAGCCGGTGGTTTCTGCTGTTCTCAGATGCAGCAGTTGTCTGTTCAGCTTCATTTAAAGGAATTAAAAGAAACAAAGCAAAATGGGGTGGGCTCGGATCTAACCCAGTGACGTGTGGCCAGTCTTCCCAGGGGGTTGGTGCAGACGCCAGACCTCTGGTTTCCTGGTGCAGAGCGTGGGCCTGACGTGTTCTGAGGCTCCACTCAGTCACCTGCCCATTCTCCCAACTTTGGGTCCAAGTCTTACCTTTGCTGCTGAGACTGCCACAGAGCCGGTCTCACCTGTGGGAATGCAGTTAATGACTATGCTCCCCCCTCCCCGCAGGAAAACCAGATCCATCAGCGGATAGCCGAGCTGAGAAAGGAAGGCCTGTGGTCCCTGAGGCGGCTGCCCAAGCTGCAGGAGGCCCCGCGTCCCCGTGCGCACTGGGACTACCTGCTGGAGGAGATGCAGTGGATGGCCACCGACTTCGCCCAGGAGCGGCGGTGGAAGGTGGCTGCTGCCAAGAAGGTGGGTGAGCTGGGACTCCTGGGTTGTCCGTTCACTTGGGGAAGAAAGTAGTGAGCCGGGGTCTCCCCACCCAGCGCCGACGGCCCGCAGAGCATGCATCTCGGAGACGGTGTGGTCCTGGGCTGAGAACACGTGAGGAGCTTCGGGTCGCCCTGGCCAGGGTCCCGGTTGGTTGGCGTACCGTCCGTGCGCTGGAGGGTGCAGGTTGGCTCCGCAGTCACGCGCAGGAGACAGCTGATGGATGTTTCTCCTCTCCTTCTTCCTCTGCCTTCCTCACTCTGAAATCATTTTTTCTTTTAAATGAAGCTTTAAAAAAAAGAAACCCATGTCCTTTTTGTTGCGTGACTGACTAAAACACAAAACCCTTAAACTTTCCCCTGCCAGCTCGTCAGGACAGTGGTGCGTCATCACGAAGAGAAGAAGCTGCGAGAAGAAAGGGGCAAGAAAGAGGAGCAGAGCCGGCTCAGGCGGATCGCTGCCTCGGCTGCCAGGGAGATAGAGTATTTCTGGTCCAATATCGAGCAGGTAAACCTGACATTTTAATGGGGCCCGAGACCTAGACTGTGGGGCTGGTGAGGCAGAGCCCGCAGAATTGCTGAGGAGGGTGCGTGAGGGTGGGTCCCGCCAGCACAGCCCTCGGACTGCAGCTCCTTAGAAGGAAGGTTCTTGCTCTGCCTGTGGCTGTGCGTGGACACGTGGACACGCGTGGCTGCTGGTGGTGCTGCATGAAGCCCGTTGTCCCCGAGAGGCCTGCACACGGCCCCTCGGAGCGGGCAGGTCACCCAGGAACTGCTCCAGAACGGCAGCGCTTGCTCCCCTCCCTTTGAAAGTGTTCTGAGCTCAGCACCTGACGGGCTGGGGCAGATGCGGTTCGCTGCCGATCAGGGCGAGCAGCCGTGTGCTTGCAGACCCGTGTGTGAGCGTCTCTGTTGCTGAACATTCTAGAGCCGGTTAACTTACCTCCTCGGACACGTGCTTGTGTTTAACGCTTGTGTTCAGGTTGTGGAAATCAAACTACAAGTGGAATTAGCGGAGAAGAGGAAGAAGGCCTTGCGTCTACAGAAAGTTTCCAGGAGAGGTACGGTCCTGGTAAAGCCTTCCCTCTCGCAGACCGTATTCTGCCCCAGTCCTGAGCTCGTGGCACCCGGCGGCACGGTGGCTTCCCGGGAGGCTGCCTGCTCCACCCTGCGCGGGCTTGTGGCACCTGGTGATCACCTTGCTCTGGGGCAGCTGCTCTGGCCGCACGTTCCCGTTCTTTTGAGATTTGCTGGTTGGGTCCGAACCCCAGGCTGACCAGCTTTGGGGCCCTCACTCTCAGTTGAGGTCTGAGCCTGTCCCCTTTGGCCAGTCCCCGGGCAGGGAGGTGGACGCCCTGAGGTGTGTGGCCCCGGGCCCCTGTGTGTGGCCAGTGCACTGCCTGACTGCAGGGCGGGGCGGGGTGGGTGGGACACTGTGACTCCCATTTTCCGGGTGCGGAAACGGGGGAGAGGTGGCCACTGCTGAGGTCACAGCTGTGTGACCAGACGGGGCAGAAGAAAGGAGCTTTGCTGGTAGCTCCTGTCCCTCTCCTGGGTTCCTGCCGAGGTCTCAGTGCTGAGGGCTGGGAGCTGCCTGGGCACCTGGTGAGGGTGGCAGGGGGCTGGCTCTGCATCGCCCCCAGGTCACCAGGAGGGAGGGGGCACTCGCTGGGATGTCTCCTCAGCGGGGTGTCAGGAGGGCGTGGCCTAGACAGGCAGAGATGCGCTTGACGTGGGTGGAGAACACAGTGACAGCCCCTGTCTCTCTAGGAAAGGAGCCGAGACCCAAGGGCCCCGAGGTGCTGCTGGAAAGTGTTCTGGTGAGTTCTGGCTGTCCCTGCACCGGTGGGTGGGGAGCATGTGGGTCATTCTGTACCGTGGAGCTCCCTGCTTCTATCTGGAGAGACTTGGAGATGACACGCGTCACTCCCTTGCACTGTGAAGTCGGGCTACCTGGGGAAGAAACGGGTTCTCTGTAGCGTGGGGTTCACAAGGGCGTTGACTGATTTGGATGAGGTGCAGCACGCATGTGGACTTAGCCACACCCAGGCCTGTCCTGTGACCGCAGCCTGGTGGCGGCGTGCTTGTCACAGGGCCACGGTGCCCTGAGGTGCACGCCCAACACAGCCCTGATTTGGTTTCCATCCTGGGCTTTGAGCTCACACTTTGGCAATTTTTATCCTGACTCAGGACCCGGGAGCAGCCGGCAGGAAACGGAAAGCGAGCACAGCCCTCACTGATGACGAAGGTCTGTCCCCGTGAACTCACAGGAAGGGTGCCCCCTTGTTGCAGCCATGACCCAGAGCCACTGGGGTTGTCGCCAGCCAGGTGCCTCGGTGGGCAGGCTTTGTGGGGAAGATACGAGGTGCTGGCCTGTGGAGCGGGGAGAGCCTAGGACTGAGGGATGAGACACGATCAGTGCTGATGGGAAGGAGCCGGCCAGGGGCTGAGGCCGGTGCTGGGCGAGGTGTGGTCTGTCTGGCAAGGCCGCCCGGTGGTGAGGTTTGTGCCAGGGAGGATGGCTGCAGACACTGCTTTCTGCTGCGGCGCTGGTCGACGCTTCTGCACCAGGGCCAGGGCTCTGGGAGGGAGGCACGGGGGCAGGGCCAAGGTTGCTTTGAGGCCGTGGCTGCACAGCACAGGGGCCTGGTAGGTGAGCTGGTCTGCTGGCCAGTGGCTGGGGCTGTGGACGTGGGCGATGGTTCATGGACTGGCTGCAGCGGGCTCAGCGGGTTCCCTCCCTCGCTCCG